ATGGCGCTCAGCCAGGGTGCACCATGCCCCTTGTGGGGAAGCGCAGAGGAGAAGCCGCTGATCAGCTGGAGTGCGGGGCAGCCGCTTTCAGCTGAAAGCCACAGTCAGCTGGCTGGGGTGTTTCAGCCCTCCCAACCTCTCACCATTCCTCACAGCTACTCACCTGTGTTGTTGCTCGGTGAGTAGCTGCTCCTCAAATGAGGAAATCTAATGTAAATGCACTGTGTAGGCGTGCAGTTCAGAGAGGGCTCAAGAGCTACTCTTAGAGCCCCTGAGATCTACCGGTACTTGGAGCTATATAGCAGATTCTGTGCTAGTAGGATAAACTGACCTGGGAGTCTCATACTTAGTTGATGGGGCTTATCAATGTCCAGAGGCATTGTTAATTACATTTTACATGGAACAAAATCCCTATGGGAGGTAGAAGAATGGATACCAAAAATGTCAGATTATTGGGTGAAGGAGTTGGAATCTGTGCAATAGTATTAGCCTGCCTTGTGGTTCTAGAATATCTTCACTTGCATAAATCTGGAGTAGTTACTCTTTGGTAAGAGACTGAACACAAGTGCAGAGATGTTTCATTTAAATGTGCTTTTCACATATAGATGTTGTGGACCTCAGCAATATAGCTGGTCACTAAGTTCTGTTTGCACCACAAGTGTTTTGTTTTCCAAAATTAAATCAACTGTTAAGTTATTCAGTATTGTAAGATGTGTATTGATCAATTTTATTTTGGCTTCTGACAGTCTGCAGCCCAAAATTACTTGTCACTGCAAATCATGGACTGATCCAGTCTATAGACTGGAAAAAATCCTCTGATTGTCGAAGGTCATACTACCTATTTTCCTATGAGTTTCCTTTCCCTCATGCCACTATAAACCAACTAAGCCCTGTGACTTGAGAACAAAATAAGCAATAAGCTGAAATGCTACCTCAGAGGCCAGCGGTAGTAGGAACTGCTATCCATGTTTATCCCTGCCCTCTTCAGCATTGAGGCAACAAAACTGGTAAGGATGAGGAATAAATCTCAGTCCCAGTTCGTTGGTTTTTTTTTTAAATTGGGTAATGGTTGCAGAAGGATTTGAAAGGGTGGTGGCTTTCATAGTGGAGAAGGAGCAGAAATTTTGTCCCCTTGCAGATTGTCTACTTTTTTCATAAAGGGAGCTAATATAAAGTAGGGGAAGGCATTCAAATGTTCTTAAATGAAGGTTGGAATTTTAAGCAGATCCTAAAAGCTCACAGATCAAATTTGTTTTTGTTTTTTTTTTATTCCGAAGCAGAAACTTCACTGTCTACTGAATACACAGTAGGAAAGCATGTGTTCCACTTGTTTAAATTCTTAGGTAGCTGGCATAATCTTATGCTGGCAATGTTGTGCTTTAAAAGCTATTCCAACTATCAACAGCTATCCTATCTGTAGGCATTCTTGTGAAGATTACTTTCCCTATTGTACCATATGTGTATGAAACACAGTTTATACCTTTCTATAGAATGATTAGATTGAGCTGGAAGAACCTGAAGAACTTCTTTGTTTTTTCAATGTCACATGTATGATATGGCCTCTTGATGCTAACTGAGTGAATGGTTAGCATGCTTGGCTCCCTCTGGCAAAGAATTGAATTTTTTTTCTCCTCTTGGGCTGAATGAAATGCCAAGGAAACAGGACAGTGCTTGAGTTATGCAGTGAATGAGGTCGTCCCAGGCTGTGGGGCAGTAAAGCTTGCTTAGGATAAACGTGAGTCTTTGGAGTCTGAAGATTTTTGTGGAAAACTAATTTTTCCATCTGTCACAAACATGCATTAGTGAAAACTAGCTTGCAAAATGAAAGTGCTTTAGCTTTCATTTTTAAAATGATCTCTTGGCACATTTCACTGCTTCTGAACTACTTGTAACAGACACTGTAGAACTGTTGCCTGCACTGACACTAGTGTTAAAATTATTTGGCTGTTCAGCTTCTAGAAAGTCATTGACTCCCCCTGCCCAAGAATGAATAAACTCTACTGGTCTCTAGAGTAAAATAGCTCTTGCTTGTTTACTTCTGCATATGTAAAGAATATTTGACAGAACTCAAGGTGATTGTTTGTTTAACCAGCATGGTACACAGTACAAGGGGTTGGATAACTGTCCAAGATCATGTCAATATGCTCCTCCCCCGGCCCCCAATCTCCTGAAGAACCATTTCTAAATTTTACAATAAGCCCAAGTGAAGAAAGATCTTCTACTGCAACAGAAGATATATTTTTATGTGGGTCCTTCACTGCAGCTGACCCCTTATAACCTGAGTGCTCCATAATAGGTCATTGAACTGTGGAATCAAGTGTTAATGACTAACAGGGTAATCTTTCAACTAGTGACTGAGAAGATTACCCTTTGCCAGAAGATAAGAGCAATCAAATATTGATCTGTCCGCTGTTCTGGTACAGTGGCACTTGCAATAATGGCTTAATCAAAATTTCAGAATATCTACTATATTTGAGTCTGTTCAAGAACCTCCTTCTAAACCGTAAGAGGACTACCAAATTCGGTACAGTAAAACCTGTGTTATCTGGCATGCTTGGGGATTAGGGCGTTCCAGTTATCTGAGGGTTCCATCAACCTAGGAAAAACCAATGGACAATAATAGTAAAACTCAAATTTTTAATATTGTAGTGTGAGGCAGTTGGTGTCTCATTTCTATTTTGAGTTAAAGATTATTAGTACTACTTAAATAAAAAATTAAGCCAAGCATGGTAAACCAAGTCAGGCCTGTGCGCCTGAAGATGTGATAGTATTGTGGCTGGGAGCAATGCCGATTAACAGTGCCAGATGATAAAGGTTTCACTGTATATAGCTTTCTCTTGTAACTTTTAAAGCAAGGTAAGGGATTGGTTGTACCTGGAATGGGATTGAGTCTCATAATACAGAAAAAGAATCACTAGGCTACTGGTTATCTGGTAAGCATTTGCCTCTACTGGGTAACCTTTTACATCCCTAACACGCACCCTTTCCCTCCCCCATATGCCATGCCAGCTGGAGCTTCAGCAGCCATGGAGAGGCATTTCTCACATGGCCCCAAGCTGCTGGGGTGAGATGGCTGGGGCTAGTCCCTTCTCGCTGGGGCACCCTGTGTACTGAGCACACTCCTCCTCAGCCCTACCTCAGAGCAATGATTTTAAATGAAGCATCTATGCTTTTTTCCATTTTATTTTCTGAAAAACAAATTAAGGACCCAAGCAATGCTGGGTGAATCTTCTAGTAAAATATAAAACTGGCTTGTATCTTCTTTCTTCAAAATGATTGATATTTATACCAACACACTGCTTTCACAAATATGGCGCAATTTCTGCAGAAGAGAAATGGTAGCTTAAACCATTCCAGGCCCTATATTCTGGGAGTAACATCCGGTCAGTCGCAAAAGAATTTTTACAAGTTACACAGTCTCTCTTGTATATCAAACCCTTCCATTCTTTTCTGTTGACTTGTCTAAAACTTTTTTCTTCCTCCTCACCCCTGCCCCCCAATGATGCAGATGATAGAGGATGTGCTCGGGGAAGGTTCAGTGTCGGCTAGCAGGTTCAGTAGGTGGTTCTCTAATCCTAGTTCTGGAAGTCATTCTAGCAGCCTGCGATCCACACCACATGAAGAACTGGAGAGGCTAGCAGGTAAAATTCTCTTAACACTTATCTTTTTAATCTCCGTACTCATGTCTCCTATTTGCCTGTCCATTCTTTCAATGAACATGATAGTGTGGAAAAGTAATTCTTACCTTGAATTTTTCCAAAAGTATTTTGGAAGCATCTGGTGTATACAGCTCTGTAGTCACCTCTTAAAGAGTTCTCCTCACTTATTTCTTTTCATCTGATGTCAGGCAGGGGGCTCTAGTCATGGTTTTCAGTGAAGTATATTCATTGAGACATTTAGTTGGTAAACTGATGTGGCAGTGCTCCTGGTTTTGCTGTTTCAGGTCTAGAGCAAGCCATTCTCTCCCCTGGCCAGAACTCTGGAAACTACTTTGCTCCTATTCCATTGGAAGACCACTCTGAAAACAAAGTGGACATCCTCGAGATGCTGCAGAAAGCCAAAGTGGACTTAAAACCGCTCCTCTCAAGTCTTTCAGCCAACAAGGAGAAGCTTAGAGAGAGCAGTAAGTGCCTCTTCTGATATTGTGGCGTTCCTGTGATGCCAGATCAAGGCAGGAGGTTTTCCAGAACATCAACCCTTGATTACTGAGGTTCAGATGTAGGAAGTACTACAAGTTTACTTACACTTCAAAAACCCCACTGGCCCACAAATCTGTTATGTTGCTACTGTTGCTGACTCTTTCCTTCCATCATAATCCTAGGATGAACGTGGTCATTAGCCTGTGCTGCTTTAATACATTAAGATTGTGTAAATGAGTCTCCCAGCTTCACTGTTCCTGGCATCTAGACTGGTCTTCGCACTACACAGTGGTAAAATGTCAGCAATCCTAAATTTACTTAATACTTAAACTCAAATTATGCAGCTCTTCCTGAAACTTGTACCACAAGAATTATATTTGCAAGTACCTGTATGCTGGATCAAAGTGATCATCCTGGAAGTCTCAATATTTATCTAAAATGGGATCAACAAGAGGTTTGCATGCATTAAGCTATTTTGGGCCCTTGTACACCCTTTTCAGGTGTACCTGGTAATATTTCCCATTAACCATTCAAACTGTTCTGGAAATGTTAGGTACAATCTAAAAGTTCACTTCAAAGAACTGTGGCTCAAACAGGC